GGTTCATAGGAGTCTATTGAACGTTGTTGGGCTTAGCTTGCACCTTCATTGCTGTTTTTCCCTCACTTCACCTTATCGGTGACCAGTGTGGTCACCAATCAGAGCGTGTATTCCCATTGAGTCTTAGTCTTGGAAGGGGGTTTGCTCTGAGGGGACCCGACCACTTGCCTTGATGTCTCCTGGACAAGCAACTTGCTTGTTCTTGTGGTAACAGTCGATCTGCCTGTATTATTTTGTATATTTCCTGTAGGTCAGACACAGATTTTTAACCTCAATGAAATCATAACATGGGTATAGTTTTGTAGTTTGGATTTTACATGTTTGATTGTAGAGAAGTAAGTAGTCAAACATAATGACAGTACTCAGTTTTAGAGAGGTGGAGAGATAGCTGTAGGAATATGTTAAGCTTTGAGAGACACAGAAAAGTGAAAACTAAAGTGAAGCAGGGCCAACTGTTGAAATAGAGTGAGAGACAAGGGAGAATTCAGAACCTCTTCTCCATAGCTCAGCCCCTAAGGGTTGGTCTGTTACTCTCATTCAAGTTGAAGTTGATCGTAGACTTCTGCTGCTAAAACCAAAGTTAATGGGCTCTTTTGGCACTGTGCTAGAAAAAGTGGCATAAAAGGCCTTTTTTATCTTTATGTTATTTTTCTTTTGCATAATAAAAGAGATACAATACATCATGGCATATTCAAAGTGCATGACTAAAGGTTGCACGAGGAACAGATCTCTAAAGTTTGGTTATCAGAGCTTCACTGAAAAGATGTCAGGAACTTAAGCTGACCTTGAAGTGTAAAGGACTTAGAGAAATGATGCTTAGCCATTTAAGAAAGAAAGTGCTTCATGTACTTAACTTGGGGCTGGCATGGGTACCAGTCAATGTATAATTTTTGGATTGATCTATTTTTTGTAGGTGTTAGTGGGAGGTAAGATGGAACCAGATTGTAGGTTTGAATAATTTAGGCAGTTGTTAAAAGATTGCTAAATATGTATAAAGCATTTTTGGAAGGTTACTTTGGAAATGTTATTTACTTGGAGTTTGAAGAGACAGGAGGCAGATTAAAATTTTGGGCTAGCCTAGGTACAAAAGGTCTTGGACTAGGGTGACGGGGATGGAAATAAGGAGTGAAGAAATAACTTCCCTTTAGTCCATTGTCACCAACTGTTCTCTTTGTCCTTTACCTACATTAGTTTGGGGAGCTTGTGTATCAGTTATTTATGTACAGGGTCTGCTTAATTCCAACTTCTTGACTTGGGAGAAATTTATATATATCTGAAACTGTTCTCATGGATCTTGGCTTTTTGGGCTGCAAGTATGTATTTAGTTGAAAGTTTAATTTTTTCTGGTAGCGTAGTGGTTACAACTTGGGCTGCAAACCGCAAGGTCAGCAGTTCGAAATTACCAGCTGTTCCGTGGGAGAAAAATGAGGCTTTCTGCTCCCATAAAAATTTACAGCCTCGGAATCCCTGTACAGGGTCACTATGAGTCGTAACTGACTCCACGGCACATAACAACAACAACAACAATGGATGAGCCAAGATTGGCAATTCTCAGTCCTTTGTATAGATTGATTGTTGTTGTTGTTGTTAAGTGCCTTCGAGTCGGTTCCGACCCATAGCGACCCTGTACAGGGTTTCCGAGGGTGTAAATCCTTACGGGAG